CCCCAAAACCCCAAAACCCCAAAACCCCAAAACCCCTCAATTAAATATAAAGATTGTTAGGCTAAAATGTCAGAATTAATAAAGCGGAAGGTATCCTATTACTATCACCCAGATGTTGGCAACTACCATTACGGAAACCAGCATCCAATGAAACCCCATCGTATGAAGATGGCTGATTCTATAATCAGGAGCTACGGAATGATGGATGAGTTGGAAGATATGACCGTAGTCGATGACCTGATAGAAGAGATAGATCTTACTAAGTTTCATGCTGATGACTATATTGACTTCTTAAAGGGTATCACACCAGAGAATGTCGCGAAGTACTCAGATCAGCTTCTAAGATTCAATATTGGTGAAGATTGCCCTATCTTTGATGGCCTCTACGATTTCTGCCAAATGTACACACATGGTTCAGTAATTGGAGGTACATGGCTGAACCAAGGTAAATCGGATATTGCTATTAACTGGTGTGGAGGACTACATCATGCTAAAAAGCATGAGGCTTCTGGATTCTGATATATTAACGACTGTGTACTGGCCATTCTTGAGATGCTGAAATATCACCAGAGGGTTCTATACATTGACATCGATGTCCACCATGGAGATGGAGTTGAAGAAGCGTTTTACACCACAGATAGAGTCATGACACTGTCCCTTCATAAGTTCGGAGAGTACTTCCCTGGGACTGGGGCCATTGAAGATGTAGGATATGAGACTGGAAAATACTATGCTGTCAACTGCCCGTTGTCAGATGGAATGGATGATGACCATTTTGAATACGTTTTCAGGCCGATAGTTGATGAGATCTTCTCAAATTTCAGGCCAGAAGCTGTTCTCCTCCAGTGCGGAGCAGATAGTCTTTCAGGAGACAGGCTTGGTTGTTTCAATCTTTCAGCAAGGGGACATGGAGCCTGTGTTGAATATATTAAAGGCAAAAACGTTCCAATCCTTGTGACAGGAGGTGGAGGATATACCCTCAGAAATGTTCCCAGGGTCTGGGCTTATGAGACTAGTGTTTGTCTAGGAGTGGATATTCCTAACGAGTTCCCAGAGCACTGTGAGTACAGAGAATACTTCGCTCCAGAGTATAAGCTTCATATGTCTACTAGCAACATGGAAAATCTTAATTCAAGATCAGAACTAGATGAGAAGATAGCTCAGATTAAAGAAAATTTGAAAAATGTGAGTGCTAGGGGTGTCGACCTTTCAAGTTACCACAATGGGCATCAGAAGGTTCCAGATCACCTCGATTACGATGAGAGTAAACTTAGAGATAAGATTGAGGAGAAGAAGCAAGATGAGAACACAGACACTAAGACATAATTATTAACCTATCTTTACACCTGGAATTGAATTATTCAACTAAGAAATAAGTTTGCGGGGTTTTGGGGTTTTGGGGTTTTGGGGTTTTGGGGTTTTGGGGTTTT